GAATTCATTAGTGAGTCGTTAGCTCTGCATTTTAATGCAAGGCTATCCATCAAAATGTCTCTCCCCATGAGAGAAATCGGTCTCACCTAGGCAGGAAATCTAGTTAAGGGCAATCAGTCTTGTTGAGAAGATGTTCAGAGTTGAAGTACTAGACTCTGCAATGCAGCCGTGTCAGCTAATGTAATCTGCGATGATTCACGCAGGCCATCTGCTTCCCCCTGGCTGCTCGGGCTGGGAGGGCGGAGGGGAGACAGAGATGATAACCTCTGAGGAGAAATGGTCCGTCCTGTGCATGCACGGCAAAGCTTTTCATTAGCGCCACCCCAGAGGTCAGTCCATCAACAGGAGGCGTGTCTCTTGTACAACAATTGCTTAGCAATAAACACGAGACTGGAAGGATTAAAGCCAATCAAAAATCATTTCTTTTTCCAGCCAGGCCGGCATGGCTCAGTGGTTGAGTGTTGACTTATGAATCAGGAGGTCATGGGTTCAATTCCCGGTCAGGGCACATGCCTGGGTTGCAGGCTCGGTCCCCCATGGGGCATGTGCAGGAGGCAACTGATCAATGATTCTCTCTCATCATTGATGTTTCTCTCCTCTCCCCCTCTCTCTTTCTCCCTCTCCCTCTCCCTTCCTCTCTGAAATCAATGAAAGTATCTTTAAAAATAATAATAATTTTCAGAGTCAAGGTGCGAAGGAGAAATGGTAGCTCTGGGACCATGCCTACTGCCATGCCCCAGTGGCCCCTGTGTCTGGACAGAATGGCAGCAGAGAAATACTAATGTTCTTCCCAGGAAGCTGAGACCCGGCTGTCCATCCTGCCACAGGCAAACCTGAGGTCATTCCATAGAGACTGGGATTCATTTCTTTTAGTGCAGGGCCTGGGAATCTGCATCGTGACGGAGTAGGCAATCCAGTGCCCACTGTGAGAGGCACCGCCTTAGCCCTCATCCCCGTCACACTCATCTGTAGCCCACTGGTAAGCAGATGCTGCGATACTGGCCAGAACAGAGGGGATTCCATCGACCTGCTGGCCCCTGGTCGCTGGCTCTGTTGTTTGAGGGTTTCTGAGATGACGGTGAAAGCAGGCGTGATGCTGCGCTGCTGCTTCCCAGGCAGAGGGCCGCACGCTGCCTTACTTCAGCGCTGGAGCTATTAGTGTGTGCGGATGTCAGGGGAGACCCCGTCCAACCTGCTGCCTGTGGGGTTATACCTGCCCGGGGCAGGCTCTCCCTAGCTCTTGTCTGTGTCAGTGAAGATAAGGTGTCATCACCTTAGCCAAGCAACACTTACTTTCTTGGAAGTCAAAATCCATGTAGTAAAGACGGAAGCTGGTAAATTCCTGGTTGGTGGCAATCTTCTTCAGTGTATTGGAGAGTAGTGCTGCTCTCTGAGTGCAAGAGAAATGGGAGAGCTCCATGAAACCTAGGCCTTGATTGGAGTGAGCAGGTGATTCAGGCAGAACAAAGAAATGAATGGTCGCCCCCCCTCCCCCCCAGCTGTCCTCACAGAGCCACTCAGCAGCTCCGTACCCTGACTTCTCTCCTGCCCATGGCCAACACGCATGCAAACGGTTAAACTTCATTAGGAACCAGATCGGTGCAAATGAAAGCAGTAAGATACCACTCTCCCGATGGGATCCATCGGCGAGGGGAAGATGAACAGTCGTGATAATGCAGACGAGCGCCGGGGATCGGAGACCCAGAATGCCAATCTGTTTAACTTTTCTAAGAGCAGTTCAGGAGTTTGAGGGTCACCTCCTCAAGCACAGCTCGCTCTTAGACCCAGGCATTTTTCTAGAAATTTGTCTTAAGGAAATAGACACGGCAGACAAAGACACACGCACACACACACACACACACACGTCCATCCCAATGCTGTTGATCACAGAGAACAACTGGAAACCTCTGTGACCTGTAGGCCCAGCTTCTAGGGATGAATCAAATCACGGTACATTCCTGTGTTGTACACTCTAAAATGATCGCAAGGTCAGGATGTGGAGGGATAACGGATGAACGTCAGACGGCATACAACACATGTGTATTCTGAGACTGTGTAGGCCAGTGATGGCGAACCTTTTGAGCTTGGCGTGTCAGCATTTTGAAAAACCCTAACTTAACTCTGGTGCCGTGTCACATATAGAAATTTTTTGATCTTTGCAACCATAGTAAAACAAAGACTTATATTTTTGATATTTATTTTATATATTTAAATGTCATTTAACAAAGAAAAATCAACCAAAAAAAATGAGTTCGCGTGTCATAGGTTCGCCATCACTGGTGTAGGCACAACCCCAACACCTATGAAAGTGATACTGGAAAGACATGCACACGTACTAGCTTTGGGTGGTGGGATTTGGGGTGAACTTTGCTACTGTTCTTGGTGCTTTTCTTAACATTCTCCAAGGTTTTTAAAAATGGAAGTATATTTGTACAAGGAATTCAATGAGTCTCTTACAAGGAGGAGGCTCATTTTCTGCGGAAGAGCTGCGGGGGCCCCGGGGCTCCTGCAGAGAGAAGAAGGCTCTGGGGCGCTGGTCCTCCCTGAACTTGGAGGGACTCAGACCAGGGCCTCACCTCACTCAATTCTCTCCGCCTCTACAAACACGCCTACAACGGGCTCTCAAAGGTGTGTGTGTGTGTGTGTGTGTGCGTGCACATGCTTATGTACATAGGAGAGAGACAGTCACACATATACAGTGACTGACAGACACGGTAAGAGTGACAGACCCAGAGGAGGCGGAAAGGGAGAGGCAGGGCACCCCACATTCCCTGGCCCTGTCAAGCCCCCCAGAAGTTCGATGTTTCTATTCTCCAGCTTGGGGCCAGCACGCTGCCCAGACCCCATCCCCGGTGCAAACTCTGCAGCAAACACAGAGCAAGAATGACCCAACACGCCGCCGAGGGCCTGCGCCAGGCCTACCTGCGAGGTGAGTGTCCGGAGGGTCTCGTTGGCCGACATCCAACCATGGCACGGGCTGACCTGGGGGCGGGAGGACTGTGATTACTGGGGAGCACAGACGGTGAGGGCGGGGCCTTGGGACAGGCGGACCAGCTCACCTGAAGGCAGCTCAGGAAGGCATACAACTGCCCGTAGGTCACGTCCCTGTTCAGCTGGCCTGGAAAAGAGTGAGCCCGGATGTGGCAGCCAATGGGACACTTAGGGTGGCCCTGCCCCGCCCTGCAGAAGACTGGCACGCCCAGGGACCAGCCTTGACGTCCAGTTGGCATGGCTCTGAGGAACGCCCGTGCTTCCTTTCTTTCTGGACGCCCTAGACCAGCCGTGGGCAAACTACGGCCCGTGGGCTGGATCCGGCCCGTTTGAAATGAATAAAACTAAAAAAAAAAGACCGTACCCTTTTATGTAATGATGTTTACTTTGAATTTATATTAGTTCACACCAACACTCCATCCATGCTTTTGTTCCGGCCCTCTGGTCCAGTTTAAGAACCCATTGTGGCCCTCGAGTCAAAAAGTTTGCCCACCCCTGGCTAGACATTCAGAGCCGGAGTGGGGAAGGGCTAAGGAGTTTGCTTCCCCCATGAGCTGTTGGCACAGCAGGGCGGGCCCGAGGGGCCTGGCCGCATCTGGATGCAGGTGGAGGGACTCCAGGGCCCTGGAGGGACCAGAGCATTACCAACAATGGACTTGGTCCGCATGGCTTTCTCCTGGCAATGAAGTGCCAAGTTCCCAGGGGGCACGGGAGCTCTCGGGGGCAGTTGACAAATCCTCCTGGGTAAGTTCATGAAACCCCAGGTCTGACCAGTGACCCCTGGTGAGGGCGGGCAGGGCAGTGCGCGTGTCTGAAGGCTGCCATGCGCCGCCCTGCGTAGGGGGCTGATGGCCTCCCCAAGTGCATGGGCGGCCATGGAAGGGGGAGGCAGCCACCACATCCCTGCTCGGCCCAGTGAGCTTATCTGAGCCCCGAAGCATAGCTATGCTCCACACTGATTATTTGGTGCAAGTGAGAGAGGAGCCAAGAGTGAAGATGACAGACGGTGCAGGAGGTCACCTGTAAAGGTCAGCTGCAGGGGCAGAATCCGTGGGGGCTGTTTCTTCTCCCACATCTCCCCTCCCCCCTTACAGCATCCCTGCCCCTGAGGCACCCCCAC